GCTGTGTTCCTCCAGCTCTACACCTTGTTATCTAAAAAAAATTCTTAGCTCTGTTTTAAATGGGTGACTCTTTATTTTTAGGCAGTGACCTTAGTTCTTAATTCTCTTGAATGAGAATGCAATTTCTCCACCTCTACTCTTTCGAATCTCCTCAGGATCTAATAAGTGACAGTGAAGTTGCCTCTTACTCTTCTGAATGTGAGTTCTATTTGGTAACTCTCAGCCCGGGCTTTTCTCAATGATGTTGACTCCATTGATCTCATTCAGCCACATTGTGTAAACTGTAGAAACAGCACCACCTGTGGGATAAACTGAGGATTGCCACGGGATTTGTAAAATAAACGCGGTCAGAATGATAGCAGCAATCAGACAGATGAGGGATATTACCATGTACTCCAGCTCATGATATAACGTTGCAGGTAATTATATTGAAATTGTAATCTTCTCATTGTCAGCTCTGTCTACACTGCCATTCTACACGATTGAAATGTTTATTACAGTTTTAATCGCATTTGGTAAGGTGACTGAACAACGTGCCTCGAGGTTTCCAGGATGAAGTGACACTGTTTATTGTCAGCATTATTAAAAACTGTGGCTCTGCTTGTTAAGGAGCTCACTTTTTCCTGACTGCCTGCAGGCTGAGCTCCCCCACCAATGAGGTGATAATTGTTGAACTTGGAGGCTGCTTCAAGAGAAATGTATATAGGATCATAGAATCCCTACAGTGTGGAAGGAGGCCATTCAGCCCATCAAGACATCCCACTCAGATCCACCCTCCCCCCCCACTCTATCCCTGTAACCGTGCATTTCCCATGGCTAATCCATCGAGTGTGCAAACTCCACACAGACAGTCGCCTGAGGAAGCCATGGAAGGTGAAAACCAGGATGAGAATTTTTAAAGCCAGTACCCGAGTACAGTTATTCCTTGTTCCTTAATACAACACCACACAAACATTGAGCTAGATCTGGTGTACCAAGGTCTGCTAATGATGGATCAAACATCAAAGAATTGCTTTATTACAGGACACAATATAAAGGTTCTGATGTCAGGACTGTATTATCCCTGATTGTTCTTGACCACTTATCCCAGCTCTCAATCCTGCTCCTCAAGCTTGAGTCCTCTGTGTTTTGCTAGTAGTGTGTGTGGCAGTCATTTTTTTTTAATTTCCTTTACAGTAAAGAGAAATTTACAGTCACTCATTATCTCATAACTCTTGTCTTATTAGTACAGAGCATGTACATTTCTATCAATGGAATTGGTGACTTAGCAGCAATTAAAAAACTGAATTAAACTAACGAACCCTCCCGTCCTCTCCAAGACATAGAAATTCTGTTATGTTTAAGTGGGATGCTGCCTGCTCTTGTGCAGGATGTCTAATTTATAAATATCACGTTAGTGTAAGGATTTTATTTTTAGTTTATAAAGTCTGAAGATTAGATTGCTTGGAACCTGTCTTAAGGTAGCTAGATTTTAGTTGGGACAGGACAAAGGATTACGTCTGATCTGCGTATCTCTGAGATTGGGTGGTGAAAATAAAATAAACTGAAGTCTGATTTCTCTTGTATTGAACACTTTAGGAATGGATATGTGGGGACAGGCACAGGCTATGTTTCCCTCTGCGGGGTTACTCGTCTGTCAACACTGAAAAATGACAACAGAACTGTCCCTTGTTGGGAGCTTTAGCTGGGAAGAGGCTCCTCCTTATTGAGTCCACGAGAAAAAGAATCGAGGAACTTTCCAAAAGTTTTCCATTTTTTTTGTTGTGGTGGTACGTTTTTCGGATTGCGTGGAAAAGAAAGACGTGCATTTTTATTGCGCCTTTCGTGACCTCAAGCTGTCCAACTGCAATTAAGGGAAAGGTAAAGTTGCCACAGACCACAGGACAGTTCTCTCATTTGATAAAGATAACTGGCTGGTGGTTTCACCTCAGGGTCACCGTGCCTCAGGCAAGGGGAGAGGTTGAGGAGGAGAGTTCTTCATGGTCACCTCAGCCAGTGCAGGAATAGAATATACACCGTTAGCATTACTCTGCATCACAAACCTCACCCATCCAGCCAACTGAGCGAACCGACCTGCCACTGTAACTAAGGTACTAACCAAATATTATTAAAGGACAATGACTGCACAGTGTTGGAAACATGAAAACCAATTTGTGCACAGCAAGGTCCTACAAAACAGCACTGGTAATGGTCAGGTTATCAGTTTTCGGTGACTTTGGTTAAAGGGTAACTATTGACCAGGTTTACCCCCTCCCCTAAAAATCAGTCTATTGGCCAGCTTTTCAGTGGACAGCTCTGATTGGTTTGTAAGGCAGTGCCCTGATTGGCTGTACTTTCAAGTGTTCTTGTTGGCCAATGGGGCGTTTGCATCGGTGTCGTTGTATGAAGGCAGTTTGAACATGTTATTGTGCGTGTAACGGAGGCGGTGTTTGTATGAGAGATTATTGCTGTGTAGGAATCTTGACCAGATGGCAATCTGAGGTTCATGCTTCGGTGTCCCATTGGGTAACCGTTTGAGGGACAGGAATAATCAGTGGACACAACTGGAGTATCCTCCCTGAAGCTCTTTGAGGGAGGCCAAGGGATCTTCCCATTCACCTGGGAAGGCAGACAAAACTTGGTTCGATACCTTGTCCGAAAATCAGAAAGATTACAGCTGGCAGTGCCCTGGCGGTCAATCCTGAGACTGGAAACATGGACACTCCTGGGTTGTTGCATCAGTTACTCTCGGAGTATCATTAAACCATGGCAGAAAAAAATTATCAGGTTGTTGCTGGGTTTGGAGGGTTTGATCTCTTGGGAAAAGGCTGAATAGGCTTGCGGCTGTTTTCCCTGGAGCATCGGAGGCTGAGGGGTGACCTTACAGAAGTCTATAAAATCATGAGGAGCACGGATAGGGTGAATAGACAAGGTCTTTTCCCCAGGGTAGGGGAGTCTAAAACTAGAGGGGCATAGGTTAAAGGTGAGAGGGGAAAGATTTAAAAGTGACCTAAGGGACAGCTTTTTCACACAGACGATGGTGCGTGTATGGAATGAGCTGCCAGAGGAAGTGGTGGAGGTTAGTATAAATACAACATTTAAAGGCATTTGGATGGGTATATGAATAGGAAGGGTTTAGAGTGATATGGGCCAAATGCTAGCAAATGGGACTAGATTAATTTAGGATATGGGGTTGGCATAGACAAGTTGAACCGAAGGTGCTGTACAGCTCTATGACTGTATGAGATGGTTTGCAATTAGTCAGAACTGACAGCTGCATCTTAGCTATCAGGTTACCTGCCCTCATTAAGCAGTTTAATATTATTACCAGTGATGGTTTCTAACACAGAAACCATGCTTGTTTTCAATGTGGAAACACATTTAAATCTTTGGATTCTTAAAGGGAGAGGCAGTGCCAGTGCAGAAAGTGCAGATCTCTTGGCTTTGAGGCCCAGAGTCTGGGAACACAGTCTCAGAATAGGAGAGAGGCCAGTGAAGACTGGGATGACCAGGAACTTCTTCACTCAGAGGATGGTGAATCTTTGTAATTATGTACTCCATTGGAAGCTCAGCCATTGAAGTACGTTCAAGACAGAGATGGGCAGATTTTTAGTTAGTAATGACATTAAGGGTATGGAGATAGGGGAATATGGCATTGAGACAGACTATCAGTTACGATCTAGAATAGCAGAGCAGACTCGAGAGGGTGAGTGGTCTACTCCTGCCCTGAAGTTCCAGAAGAGAAATGGACCATTTCCTCAGAATCTACATCCAATGTTTATCCACGTTAACCTCATTCTGCTGTTTGGTTGTTTATGGTGTGTGCGTGCTGTACCTTATTATTGTGCCTGTTTCCTGAGTACGTCTCATGTAAGAGCGTCGAGGGCTGATACTTGCACTTGGACCAGTTCCAGATATTTTCTGATTAACCTGTTCAGAGATGGTATTGCTACCTCTGGAGCAGGTGGGAGGTGGACCCGGATCTCCTGGCTAACCTTGGCATATGAGGCACCTTGTCCATTCCTTTTGAGGTGACTCACTTGGATGGAGGTAAAGGTTTCAGCTTTTCTGACAGTGTCCGTACGGTATGTCTGTTTGATCACATATACAGTCTGTGACTTCATGCACGTGATGATGTGCCATATGTGGAGCTTTAGAAACATTGTTCCTTGATTAACCCTTCCTCATGTGATGCTGTGGAGCTTTGTTGACACTTTGGGTTTCTCTGAGCACTTGGATTTCTTGTAAATGTTATCCTTTTGTAGAACCTGGCTTGCGTATGCTGCATTTTTAAAAATCCATTCACAAAATATGGGCATTGCTGGCTAGGTTATTGCCCATCCGTAACTGAGAGTCAACCACATTGCTGTGGGTCTGGAGTCGCGTGCGAAATGGTAAACTCATCATAGTCTCATGAGATGATAGGACCGCTCTCTCATTAGGTGGTGATTTAACCTGAGGGTCGCCATGCCTCAGGGGAGGGGAGAGGTTGAGAAAGAGAGTCCTCCATGGTCACCTCAGCCAAAGCAGGAATTGAACCCAAACTGTTGGTGTCTCTCTGCATTGCAAACCAACCTCCCAGTCAACTGAGCTGACCAACCCTCTCTTCAATCACACCAATGTGGTTGACTCATAACTGCCCTCTGGGTAACTAGGGATGGGCAATAAATGCTGGCCTAGTCAGCGATGCCCTCATCCTGTGAATGAATAAAGAAAAAAAGATAAGCCGGACCAGATATGAATGACATTTTCCTTCCCTAAAGAGCATTAGTGAACCAGGTGGGTTTTTCCAACAATCAGTAACAGTTTCATGAGCTTCATTAGATTCTTACTTCCACATTTTTAATTGAATTCAAATTCCACCACCTGTCTTGGTGGAATTTGAACCCTGATCCCCAGAACGTTACATAGGACTCTGGATTAACAGTACCACTAGGCCGTCGCCCTCCCTGAACATTGGCCTAGTGTGTGAGGCAAGCCACATTTTAAGGAAGATTCTGATGTTTTACTCAATGTGTTGATGGGTGCAACAGTGGTTTCAGAGTAAGGGATCGTGAGATGTTGCTGACCAGATATAATTGCTTTGAACTTGTGTCCGTCTCTTAGAAGAACATAAATTATGTGGTTCATTGAGAAGTGCTTTTCTGAACAAATTGATGGGTATAGAGGCAAGTTCCATCAGTCTTTCAGCTGAGTTCACTTTACTGAGTAACTTTACTTTACGTTGATACCTGTCTTGTTATTGATCGATGGTTTCACCTAGCTGTTGTCGGTATGATGTAAACCCCAGTCTGTATGTCCTGAAGTTGACTTTCTAAAATCCAGAAATCATCATTGGGATCTTTGCAGTCATCATTAGAAATGCTGGAGGATTGTTATTGTTCTTGATCCTTTCATCCCCCAAGAGATAAGAAGTCTGACTGCCTGTCTTTCTTTAATCAATAGGACAAATATGGGATATTTATAGAGACAGGGCTGGGAGAAATAGGCATTTAGGTCAAAGCTAGTTGACTGCCCCTTTGGCAATGAAGGAGCATCTGAGTCCAGGATTTCAGCCTAGACATGATCATAGAATCCCTACAGTGTGGTAGCAGGCCATTCAGCCCATTGAGTCCACACTGACCCTCTGAAGAGCATCCCACCTGATCCCTGTATTTCCCATAGCTAACCCACACATCCCTGGGGCAATTTAGCATGGCCAATCCACATAACCTGCACATCTTTGGACTGTGGGAGGAAACCCACACAGACACAGGGAGAATGTGCAAACTCTGCGCAGACAGTTGCCTGAGGGTGGAACTGAACCCAGGTCCCTGGTGCTGTGAGGCTGCAGTGCTAACCACTGAGCCACTGTGCTGCCCCTACCCCATGTCCCTGTTTGTAACGCTTCACCTTATTTACTTGTTCTTCCAAGGAATGCTGACATCATTTGCTGCCATCCCTAATTACCCTTTGGCTTACAAGACTGTTTCAGAGGGCAGTTAAGTGTCAACCTCAATTGGTTGGGCCTACAGTCACATGGCAGCCGGACCAGATAATGGTGGCAGATTCCTTACCTTACAGGACATGAGTGAACCGTATAGTTCCTCTTGAAGATCGCCATTACTGAGGCTAACTTTCAGTTTTGGGTTTTATTAATTGAATGTAAATTCCTTGCGTTGCCATGGTGGGATTGGAACCCATGGCCCCTGAGCATTAGCCTGGCTATCTGAATGGCTAACCCAGTGACATGACCACCAGGCCACTGCCACCTCCTAAACAATCAAGCTGCTTCAGAGTGAAGATAAACCAATCTCCACTCAGATTCTGAATGATCTGTGACCTAACCTGAACTTTGGAGACCAGGATTTTCCTCACAGAAAACTGGAACAAACACACGTCTTTTTCCATTTAATTAAAAAAAGGCGTTAATGAATCTTTAGTGTCATGCAAGTCATGAGTGACCATGATTTTAATGGCAGCCTATTACAATGAGGAAAACTGAGGCCCCTCTATATAGCGTTAAAAGGAGTATTTAATCTTTGTGAGAAATACTTTATTGAGTTGCCAGTATTTCACAAATAATTGCTATAAGCTGCAGAAATCATGTTGTAGTGTAAGATTCAGTGAAGCCAGTGTTATCCTTTATTGTAATGTGTGTCTATGTGAGGTTTGTCAACAGGACATTGCTACACATTGTTTAAATGGTGGTGCCCTCTGGTGGATTGCTTCTGAAGTACATGATTGACATTGTTTTACTTTTATTTGTAAATTTGCAGTGAACCATCTTTACAGTTTTTAGGAGTGAATAAGCTGCCTTTTCTGGGCTCATGTTCTATAAATAATAGAAGTGATTCAGTTTGAGTTTGCAGGTTTGTAATGTGCTATATTTAGGGCACTTTCTCTTGTGCAGTACAGGGGGCACAGGAGAATCATGGTTAAAGTCTGAGCTGGTCAATACTGTGTTATAAACTGAATGTCCCCTGACTAACCTTGACCAGTTTGCAATAACTCTTTTTAACTCAGGGCTTTATGCGGTGAAATAGACAAAGGGGACAAGAGTCAGGAGAAGGTCCAACTCAACTTTATTGAACACTTTATCAAGGAAAAACGTTATTTATCAAACTCCACTATTGTACTTGAATTAAGCTATCAATTTCGTCACGGGACTGTTCAGTAAACAGTCTTAAATCTCCAAGTAAATGGGCTCAAATCTTCTGACACATGTTTCTGAGGAGTCACTGCACCCTATACACAGGTCCCTGTATTTGAACTACTTGAGGTTGTTGACTTGCTCACCGAGCTGGCTTGTATTTGTTTGGAGTTTTTCATCACCATGCTAGGTAACATCATCAGTGTGGCCTCCAATAACGTTATCTAGCATGGTGATGAAACATCTGAAAAAAACAAGCCAGCTCGGTGAGCAAGTCAGCAACCTCACCCACAACCCGAGCTACAATCTTTGCCAAAACTTTAAATTTGAACTGTTTGTCTGAAAGGGCTGATAATGCCTGTTCAATAAGTATAGGACAGACTGTTCCTGAGTCTTTGAGGGCTGGCTGATGTTTCGGAATCTGCAGTCATCGATTTGGGCTTCCTCTCTCGTCTAGGGCTGGTTCTGGTCCTCGGGTCATCTCACCAAGGTGGTCTTCAGGGTCTGGTCAGTCTGATGGTGCTGGCCATGGGGTACAAGGTGCTGCAGATGCTGTGCACCTTGGCTGCCAGGCAAAGGGACTGTCTGGAGACACTGTTGAAGAAGGTGCAAAAGCAAAGGGAGCTGGGGCTCCAGGTTTCCCCTTTTATCCCTCTCTTCATGAAGATTCTGTGGCCCGTGTCTAATACAAGCATTGGGCAAGGATCCTGGAAGATCCAGTGAGGGGCTTGTTCCATGTTTGGAGGTCGCAGAACATGGTTTTGAACCTTCGCCTGTTGAGTCCTGTCCTTGTCATGCTGTGCCTCTGGTCTCCTGTAGAGCTGGGTACCAGCAAGTCTGTGTAACATTCTTCTCACAAAACAGCTACACTGGAGTACAAACACCGATCATTCTGAGACAATGAGGCTGTTAGTACTTGGCCAAGCAGCTCCAGGCCTGAACAGAATCCCTCCTGAATGGAAACAGGCTACTCAGCCCAACAAATCCACACTCACCTCCCAGAGAGCATCCCATTCAGACTCACCCCCTACCCTGCATTGCCCATGGCTAATCCACTTAACCTGCACATCTTTGGACTGTGGGAAGAAATCAGAGGAAGCCCACACAGACACAGGGAGAAAATGCAAACTCCACACAGATAGTCACCCGAGGCTGGGATTGAACCTGGGTCCCTGGTGCTGTGAGGTAGCAGTGCTAACCACTGAGCCACCATGGCTGTCTGGTTTCAATGGGCAGTTGATTGTCCAAGGTCTGGTTGTGTCAGTACTGTCTGTTCCAGCTCTACAGTTTGCAAATTGCAGAGTCTGGCTGTGTTAAACTTGGCTTCCACATTTAAAATTTAATTCAGGCTCATGACAAATTGTCAATATTTCTGTAAGAATTCTGGAGGTCATGGGTCACCTGACCACAACAAGTCTTTCGCAGTTGTTGGAAAACTGGACGTTTTTAGACTGTTCCGCTCGGTGCTGGAAGGTACTTGTCTGTTTGGCCGCTTACACGTCAGTCTGTTTTTAAAAATTCACTTGCAGTATGTGGCCAACACTGACCAGGCCAGCATTTATTGCCCATCCCTAATCAGTTAAGGGACAATCACATTGCTGTGGGTCTGGAGTCACTTGTAGGCCCGACCAGGTGACAGTTTCCTTCCATAAAGGGGATTAGTGAACCTGATGGGCTTTTACAGCAGTCGACAGTTATATGGTTCCTATTGGAACAGCTTTTTATTCCAGATTTTTTACTGAATTGAAATTCATCCACCATGGTGACTATGCTTCAACAATGCTTTATGGGTTGTGGAACACTTTCAAATATGCAGTGACCTATAAAAAGCGCTATATAAATGCGCATCTTTCTTTTTATTGCCACATTGCAGTTGTGGGGCCTTGCTGTGTTCAAATTGGCTGCTCCATTGGCTAGGCTTATAGTAGGGACTGTATTTGAGCAAGTGTCTAAGAGGTTGTGATGTATTTCGGTTGGTCCTGGGACGTCACAGACGCTGTATAATTGTGCGTTCTTTTTACCCTGACTGTCTCTCTCTGCTCTCCTTGTATGTGGATCCAGAGGCTAATGACAGGCAAAGTTTCCAATGAGGGACACAGCACCTCTTCCCTCTGCAGTCTGAAGCCTGAAGTGTGTTGGATCTTCCCTCAGAAAGGCCTGGCCTGCTTCAGAACTTCATCACCTTGTATAAAGGCTGCCTACATGCATAAACCATGAAGAAATTTGAACCTGTGTATTTGTAACTTATGCAGTGTGCTGAGATTTGCCCACAAATCCTATTTTCTTCTATGACTATTATTGCATTTACTGAATCAATAATTTCTATTCAATTTGCTTGAATCACTGTTGACACTGTGTAATTGCAGGGTTTTTTGGCTCCATGGATAGTGTGTTGGAAGCCCACGGGCAACACCATAAACCATTTGTTGGTGTCTTTTATAAATTTACTAATCTGACTGTGTGACCTTCTTGTCATTGTTTTTCCATTTGTAAATCCCTAAACTGGAACCACCTATGTAAACATGTCACACAGACTGCAGCTTCTTCTCCCATAGCGGGGCACTGCAGCGCCACTCCTGGCAATGGATGTGATTACAGTGTGACATGTTCTGGGGAGGAATGTCTGAACTGAAAAAGAGCTCTTGTATCTGTGTATCCTAATGCAACAACCTCCTACCCTTTAACCCATGAAGAACGCAATGGGAAATAGATGCAGTTTGTCTAGCAGCCTCTTCTACTCACTGTCTGATTTTGTCCTTCATTAACTTAACAACATGTGGCTTAACTTAACTGCTGTTTTGGTGATGGCTATGTGAAACTTGGGTTCCATTTCACAGTGTACTTTGTACTTGTGGTTTCATTCTGCACTGTAGACTTAATTCAGATCCTGTAAGACACGAGAGTAGATCATTAATCTGTGCTTGTGTGAAGTGGATTGCTTTTCTAACGCTAATTCTTTTTCACAAACACAAATATTTTCTGTTCTGGTTGGTAATTAATTGTG